CCCCCCCATGGCTGCCCCCCTCACCCCAGCTCCCCAGCACCGGGGCTTTTTTTTAAACAACTGGGAGTTCGGGTTTCGGGTTCAGGTTTTTGTTTTACTTTTTTTTTTAAAGGGCCAGGAGTTGAGGTGGGCAGGGCAGCCATGGTGGGGCTGGGACAGTGGGTGGGGGTGGGCGGACTCGTGGCAGAGCCCCTCACACAGCACAGGGCAGCAGGGATTGCCCCCTGCCAGGCAGAAGCTAGTGAGTGCAAGCTTTTTTCCCCCCAAAGAGCGGGGAGCTGGGGCAGGCGGGGCAGCCATTGAGCACGGGCAGGGGATGAGACCTGTGTGATTTGGAGATTTGGCCGATTTGGCTGCAGCCAAATCTCCGAATCAGGCTCGGCCGAATCAATTCGGGGCAGTGATTCGAATCACCGAATCAAATCACTGTCCCCTGAATCGGCCGAATCCGAAGCGAATACTCACCACTTCACACAGGCCTACAGGCCAGTAGGGATCCACGAGAGATATGAAGTGCCCAGTGAGTGACGAGTTTCACACTTGCCCTGAACTTACCTACTGGATCTAAAATGAATAGCCATATCAATAAACTAAACAGAACAAAACAAAAAACCCTTCCCTGACCACAGTAAAAAGGGAACCTTGTTAATTATGCTGTGCCCTGGTGCCCGTGACACTGAGTGCCGCCTCTGAACCAGGGCTGCGTTGCTTTTATCTGTGCAACTGCTGCTTGTGTTCTTTTCCTGGCTGGGGCCTATCCTTTTACCAGGAGAAATGCGGAAAAACCAGTTCTGTGGTTAACTGCTGCACTTCCCTTCACGCCCACAGGGTTGGTCTCCTCCTCTTGATCAGTCTGGGTGTACTTTGGCCTCTGCCTGCTTCCTAGCAGCTGCGCTCTTATCAGGCCAGGTGCTCAGTGCACCGTACTCCTACTTCTAATAATGTTGTAGCTTCTGCTCCCACCCCTAAAGCCCTCTGGCTCTCTCTTGACCTCTTCTCTCTTGGGCAAGCCAGTGGGCTCCATCAGAGGTGTAGAGGACACGGGCCCTGCCCTGCCCAGAAGGGCAGCTTTTGGAAAAGATGGCTGGAGGGGAGGACAGGAATGTGAAAGCCCTAAAGGATGTGTGGAAAAGACCTGAAAACGCCTTGTGTGCAGACTGTGGGAAGCCAGGTGAGTCATGGTGGGGATCGCAGTAGTGGAAGAGAAGACTTCTGTGGCTAGCTAGGGGACAACCAATATTAGCCAATATTTAGGGCCATTTGGGGCCTGTGTGGGGAGAAAGACTTTTGGAGGAGCAGCAACCAGCATCACTAGTTTTGGGGAGGAAAGCTGAAGAATGTCTAGCATGAGTGGTTGGAGCGTTGTAGCTTGAGTGGTTGGAGTGTTGTAGCTGTGATGCTCCAGAAAATATGCAAGAAGCAAAGGGTTTTTTTGGTGATATCTTTTACTAGACCAGCTGTATAGCTGGGAGAGATATTAGACAAGGTTAGGGGCACAAGGTGCCCTTCCTCTGTTTTGGAAGAGAAGCATCAGGAATGCAACAGTGTGTCAGGATGAATTTGGTGTGAAGTGTCTGGGGTCCAGGGAAAAGGGGCCAAGGGGCTTTTTCTTGGGTAAAGAAGGATGGGAGAATCATTGTTCTATGCAGACATTAGGTGCAGGTTTATGTTACTGCTGTATGGAGTTGTCATGCAGTGTATGGCATAGGAAGGAGGAAGAATAGGGATGGTGCACTGCTTGAAGTACAGGAGAAGGATGAGGAGACTGTGCAGCTCCATCACTGGGGCTTCTGGCACATCAGATCTCAAGAAGTAATTAGGACCTGGTTTGGTAATGGATTTGACAGAAAAACTTCAAAAGAAATCCCAGCTATTGCAGCAAGCAGAACAGTATGATTCACTAAGCCATCACCTCCTGTCTGAGTCAGCAGTAGAAGAATGTCCTGCCACAGGGCTAGGCAATACTGTTCTCTCGAAAGGGATAGGGTTGTCAAGTCAATGTTGGGGTGTTAAAAGATTCTGAGACACTGCCACTAAAATGTACATGCTGATCCAATATGCTGGTCAGAAACACTTCTGGGGAATTAATTACATTTTACTGCCTTAAATTCCTCACTGACTTTCACATGGCTTCGGCACTGTTCTTCATTTCCTGTGCTAAACTGTTGTCTGTTGCCTTATGAAACAGCTGCCATAATCAACCGCTGAGGTGCCTGGGTTTTTGGATTGGGCAATTTCATTTTAGAGACAGAAATCCTGTAAATATGCCACAAAACCCTTCAGAACAAAAGGCACAATGTACATTTAAGTACATTAGCCTTCTGCATGGAGCAAGGGGAGGCAGGGAATAATGACAATACATTTTTATGAGCTGGTGTCTAAGCTAACTGCAGGGTAGACTGACATTGTCTGGGCTGGTTTAGACCAAGCCATTCTTGTCTTCAGCAAGAGTTTGGAGTAGGTGATTTTTTGACATGCCTTCTATCCCTATGATTTATACTCCAGAAGGTGAGTGAATCAGCCAGGGTGAAATGGCAGTTATACATCCATCCACATATTTTTCCTTGGTGCCTTGACAGCACATTTCTCAGTTCAAGAAATATCTCCCATGAGAATCTGGTGCTGACCCTGCTCCCATTTTTGTTTCATCTCAGATCCTGACTGGGCATCCTATACTTTGGGTGTCTTCATCTGCCTTAGCTGCTCAGGGATCCACCGTAACATCCCTAGCATCAGCAAAGTCAAATCACTGAGGATGGACCACTGGGAGGTGGCCCAGGTGCAGGTGAGACCCTTCCTGCCCATATCTGTGCTGTGGTACATCTCAAGCCTAGATTTTTTATTTGTAGACTGTACTGTATTGGGTCCTGGGAAAACAAAACCACATGGGCAGCCTTCAAGGCTAACAGTAGTTAATATCCAATTTGATTTCACAAATGCTGATTCTTCCCCTAATTTTATGGGTGATGGACTTTGGTAGGGAGTAAAAACTGGATATGTGATAACCCTCATCATGTTACTTTATTATGACTATGATGGAGGTCTGCTTGAAACACATTGTGTTCTGACTCAGGGTCTCCTTTTCGTCATGAAGCTGACTTCTCATCTGCCCAATCCTTAGAGACCATGTCTTGCACAGAACTCAGTAATCCAAGCAGAACACCCCTTCTTCCTCAGCCACTGCAGCAAAAATTTTCAAATAATGCTTGGCCTAGCAGGGATAACAGGGTTTGTCTTCTCCTCCTACAGTTCTCTTGAGCACTAACAGTGTTCTCTTTGGGGAAGAGCTGGGGCCTCTGGGGTACCTTTGCCAAAGGCAATGCAAATCTGCTAAACATGGGTGCGTGGCCCTGATGTGAACGTCATTAAAGATAATTATGTTGGGTTAAGTGCATCCTGTAAAACTCGTGCTAACATAGACAAGGTCTAAGAGACTTGACTGAAACCTGCTCCTCCATTGTTGCACTCTCCAGGAACATGTCAATGGGTGGAAGAAAGGGTTGGTTTAGAACAGGGGTTCCCAAACTGTGGTACGCATACCCTTGGGGGTATGCAAGACATCTCTGGGGAGTACATGGGAGAAATTGTGTAATGGCAGATTTAATTTTCATTATAATAATAATTGTCATTTAAGGGGCTAAAATATAAAATGTATGCTGGTAGGGGTATGCAGGCAGCTGGTAAATCTAGAAGTGGTTACACAATAAGAAAAAGTTTGGGAACCTCTGGTTTAAAGCTTATTAGCTGTTTTCTTTCTATGTGTCCATTATGAGGAAGGCCAGTGATGAAATTTACATTAAATAAAGTACTAACTCTCTGTCTTATTTTGCAGTTCCTGGCACAGCATGGGAATGGAGCGGGTAAAGCCACATATGAGGCTCACATCCCCATTTACTATTACCAGCCAATCTATGCTGACTGCCAGTAAGAGCCACTACTTAAAAGAGGGTGGGCCTTTGTGGGCTCCGCCAGCCCATCACTAAGCCCCTTCCCTTGTTGTGTTATTCCACAGAGTGCTGAGAGAGCAGTGGATACGGTCCAAATATGAACGGAAGGACTTCACTGAGCCAGGGAGATATGTACTGTATTCTGATGGTAAGAGCACAGCATGGATTTATCCTTGCACATTGCATTGGCCCTGCCCCAAGAGGGTGCCAACAGAGACTGTCATGAGTAAGCTGATAGCACTAACCTCTCAGGTGGCCCTATCAGTGCTGCTTTGAGGGAGCTTGCACTACTTACAGAAAAGATTACTAAGGGTAATTGGATTGGGTTACCTAGAGACCTGGTGGAATCTCCATCCTTGGAGTTCTTAAGGCTTGGGTCAACAAAGCTCTGGCTGGAATGATCTAGTTGGGGCTGGTCCTGCTTTCAACAGGGGGTTGGACTAGATGACCACCTGAGGTCCCTGCCAACCCTCATTTTCTATGATTCTACTGGGAATGTGACTGGTATGGGGCATTATTTCATAGAAGGACACAGTGCTGGCATCTTATTTAGGCATTACCACAAGAAGCTCACCACACTGGTGTTCCAGTGTGTACTGCTGAGCATGGTCTCATGGCATTTTCAGTGCTGAGATGGCCCAGGCTGCACAGTGAGTAAGCGTTGTCCTTCTACCCTCCAGTCCCCACCCCCAAAACCACAGCAAGCTGTCTTCAAAATTACACTGTCAGCACTACAATGCACAAATCCTTTGATTGAGGGCTTGTGAAACTAAGTGGTAAGAATTGTGGCCTACTGCCAGTGTCTGCACATAGCTGGGATGGTAAGCAGTCAGGCAGGTTGGTGGGGAG